CCCAAACAGAGTGTATAACTTTTCTCCCAACTCTCGCTGTCTAAACTCTATTTCTTTTTTTCTTATCTGCCAGAACTTTCCACAGACTGGACCAGCCCCATTCCTATTTGTCTCTATTTCTCTAACTCCCAAAATCACAGAATTTTTCCCCAAATACAGTAATAATTAAAAAAAAATTCTAAAATACAACACTTATAAAATTTTTTCCCAAAATACCTAAGTTTGTAGTGGTTCGAGTTCAATCGACTCGAACCACTAGTGGCATCGAGTTAGAGAGCCTCGATCGACTTTCTGAGGTAGTGGATCGAGTCCATTGAACTCGAAGCACTGCGTTAAAATTTCCAATAGCCTTAACTTTGTGCTCGGTTATCTGATCATCGTGACATTTTTTTTGGTTCCGCATAACTTTTCGGTACTACAACTTTTTTCATAGAAATATTTTCAGAACGTATTTGGAAATGTGAAAAGTAAAGCTAACCTTATTCTCAAAACTCCTTATATCCAAAAAGATTTCATATTTTGAAATTTTCATCCTAGTAAAAATTGTAGGGCTAAAAAATTTATGCAAAATCAAAACAAACTTTTGGAATATCGAATTACGGAGCACAAAGTTATGATCGTCCCAAGTTTGGCAAAAAATGAAAAATTGGTTGTTTGGAGTAGCAAATGACATTTTTTCGATTTTGTCAAATTTTAAACGATCATAACTTTGTGTTTCATAATCCGATTTTAGTGAATTTTTTTTTTATTTTGCATAAGTTTTTGAATACTACAACTTTTACTAGGAAGAAATTTTCGAAATAAGAAGTCTTTTTGGATATAAGGGGTTTTGAGAATAAGGTTAGATTTACATTTCACATTTACGCATATATTCTGAAAATATTTCTATGTTAAAAGTTGTAGTACTCGAAAAGTTATGCGAAATCAAAAAAATTTCACTATGATCAGATAACCGAGCACAAAGTTAAGGCTATTGGAAATTTTAATGCAGTGGTTCGAGTTTAATGGACTCGATTCACCACCTCAGGTAGTGGATCGAGGCCATCAAACTCGATCCACTACCTCAGAAAATCGATCGAGACTTTCTAACTCGATTCCACTAGTGGTTCCAGTCCATTAAACTCGAACCACTCCAAACTTAGGGGTCGTTTGGAAGTTGTGATTCTTCAAATTGATGTATTAATCCAATTAGTGTATTATCATTTTATGTATTGAATCAATTGATGCAATAGACACATTTCTTGTTTGGAGGTATAGAATTTTTTTTTTGTAAAGCCACAAAAGTTAACTTTGAGTGATTGGGAAGAATCTCAACAAAAATTAGAGATTGATAATCCCTCAATTTTGAGTGATTGTGGTGGGGCCTCCAAAAATTTAATGCATGTATTCTAGTTCAATATAAGTAAAAAAAACGAGTTAATCTCACAAATACATGAATTGGCACAATACAGCATTTGAAATCACAACATCCAAACGACCCTTTAAGTATTTTGAGAAATTGTTTTATAAGTGTTGTATTGTATAACTTTTTTTTTATAATTATTACGGTATTTGGGGAAAAGACCCCAAAATCACTAGTTTTGTCTAGACTTACTAATGTGTCAATTACACTGATTATCAAAATACATTTTTTTATAAATTGCATTCTCTCCTAATTTTATTTGCTATGATAGTGCAATCTGACAACTTATTGAGAAAGAATTATAGAACACTTTCAACATCAATTTTGGCTCTCGTAATTCTCTGATAGTCTCCATCAGTTTTTGTTAACAACGTCAATCAATTGCTGATATGGCTAACAAAAGTGCTGACTCATCCAATTTTAACCCGTCACATCACCAAACTCAACCCGTCACGTCAGTCAACCCGCCATCTCTAAGTTCCCCAAACCCATCAACCAACCCTTCCAAACCCGTGACCATTTCCGGCCGACTCTAGGTTTTCCATCGTTACCTACAAACTAGTGCATGTACTCAGTCCACCGCCGGCGAAGCCGCCTCATCCTATTCCTCCGCCGCCGCAAGCAGTCATATACTTTCCAATTTGACCATGGCCGAAGCAGCAGGCTCCTCCACCATTCCAGCCAGTCGTCTAACATACGATGTCTTCCTCAGCTTAAGAGGATGATGGTTGTGAGCATTTGTAGCTCCACCTGCTCTATACTAATACCTGTCATGCTTGAATCAGTTTAGCAAAAATGGTGGTGTGAACATGCACTCATGAACAGGGTTGTGAGCATTTTTCGCAAAATTGGCCCAGTACTACTACTCTATACTATACTACTAGTCATGCTTCAATCATCTAACTTGACGATTTACATTAATTTTCACAATAATTAACTCCTCAATTAATGCATTGAATGCAACTAGTTAGCATTATTAAACACAAAATCTCGCAATCCTTAATTTGGACAACATGACTGGCTCTATAAAATATAAATGGGACCAACATCTGACATTGTCGAACCTTCAGATTGATGTTTCCTTTGCCTTTTTCACTTTTCTTTTCCCTTATCAATTGCTTTTTCCTAGTTGGATAAAAGGGCCTCCAAGTCCCTTTTCTTCTTTTTACTCACTTATTTGAATTGTATTCGATATTTAAAATAAAATTTGATATTGATTAGCATCTCTTCAATTCTTTTCAAATTACTTTTAAAAATTTGAGGAACTATTCCATGTTTATCTAGAGAAGGGATATAAGTAAAATCAAATTTACTAAAGAATTATTCATCTAATGATGTTGTTTGTTGTAACTACAATGCAATTGGGTAGTTAAATGTTCGAATTTAACTATTTTCTTCTGCAAGATCATCTATAGCAAAGGATATAATCAAATTCAATCTTATGTAGATTGGATGTTAATTAATATCTTCATAATCAAAGGGAGGATTATTCATTATAGGATGCTGCCCCCTAATTTATATTTTTAAAATAAGTGAAAGGCAATTTGAGATTTTTTTCATATCATATCCCACTAGCGATGGAACCCATTTTTAATATAACATATAAGATAATGTCCTAATTAGGGGTGGTTATACGGTCCGGTCCGGTTAAATTGGTCCAAATTGATCCGGTCCAGTCCGGGTTTTTTTAAAATATAAGGACCGAAGATTGGATTGGATCCGGTCCGGTCTTGACCCGGTCCGGTCCCAATTCAATCTTGATTTTATATTGAGATTGTGGGAATTTGAGTGGCCTAAGGCCTAAAAGGGTGAGGAGTTGGTTTAGTTTTGTACTAAGTGCAAAGGTTTGTGACCGTTTATGCAAATTACCCTTAAGTTTTGGGTGTTGAGCTCTCTTATCCGGTCTTTATCCGGTTTTTTACCTCAAATCTAAGCCCAAAGATTGGATTGGATTGTTTACTATCCGGTCTCGATCCGGTCTCGGTCAGGGTTATACGGTCCGGTTTCCGGTTTTTCATCCGGTCCCGGTCCAAATAGCCAGCCCTAGTCCTAATTATCTACCCAAGCCCAATTGATCATATATTAATTTTTTTTAATCGCTAAATGTCGTCCTTAAAATTGCTAACGGTCGCCCTAACTCTAATGATAAATGACTTATACACCCCCAATAAAATTTCAAAATTTAAACAAACCAAACAATCCCTAACCCCTCAAACTGAATCTCTCATCTGCCTTCTTCGCGAATCCCACTCGACGCACCAGTTCGTCGGCATCTTTCTCGCCGTCGGGGTCGCCCATTCTCTAACGAAATTTCCAAAAAAAACGCTCAACCTAAGGCAAGTTACGGTTGGTCCATGGTGCAACCGCAACTCACTTGCGGTTGGTCCATGGTGCAACCGCAAGTGAGCTGCAGTTGGCCCATGGTTGAACCGCAAGTGAGCTGCGGTTGCACCATGGGCCAACCGCATGCAACCGCAAGTGAGCTGCGGTTGGCCCATGGTGCAACCGCAAATGAGCTACGGTTCCTTTTTTTTTTTTTCAATTTTGTGAGTAAACTTTACTGATTCAGAGTCGCTAGTCATGCTCCAGACATCATATCGACGATTCCAACTCCAGAATGACGATGATGGATTCTCTCTTTTGAATAATGTTTTATTTTCTTTACTAAGTTGTGTTTGTTTGCTAAAGGAAGAGTAAAGAAGGTAAAAGGTTAAATTTGTAACTTTGATGTTTTTTAGGGCGACATTTAGCAATTTTAAGGGCGACCTTTAGAAACTCCCTAATTTTTTTATAAGGATTACATAAGTTTACATTTTGTTGATAGGTGTTACTTAACAGATTCGAATCTGATTCTTGTAAATTCAAGACTAGTGATATTACTGGTAGACCAAACACTTAAATATTTTCAGAGCATCTCATCGCTTAAAGTGTACTTGGAGAAAAATAAGTTGTTTACAGTTAGTTAGAGAAGTTTAGAATCCAAAAGGATTGGCAAATCTGTTTGGGCGTGATTGGGAATACCTCCCAACCACATACCTCGAGCTGTCCTTTGGGAGCTTCGCCTATGCCATTTGGAATTCAGTTTTTCAGTTAAACATGCAGAGGAAGTTAGAAGGCTGGAAAGGGAAGTACTTGTCCCTAACGGGGGAAAGAATTATACTCACCAATAATCGATCGTATTCGTATATTTGTTCAACACTTGGAAGTCCCTTTCATTTTATCAAATATTAAGAAGGCCAAAAAAAAAGACAAAACAGAAAGACAACAAAAGTTGAGGAAACTATCCCCACAACAAGACACACATATACACATCTCTCAATCAATCAACCTCCAAGAGAAAGGATGACGACCAAAAGTCTACGACATGATAGCACAGAACTTGCCTTTAAATTACCTAGCAAGTTGAGGGGCAATTTCGCAACCCACACCCTCCTCTATATAAACACACACACACACCCTCCATTCCAAGGGCACACAACCCCACACAATATTCAAACCCTACAAAAGCCAAAGCGAAAAAGAAAAAAAAACTATGGCCTATCTAAAAACTCTCCAATCAACAAGGCCATCTTCTTCTACTGCAACATCAATAACTGCAATGAAGAGCATCAAAGCCCTGATCCACAGCCTGATCGTGGCTCACATCTGCCGCGCCTTTCGAGCCCTCCGACGAGTCAAATCCATCCTCCTCCAGGCCCTCAAGAACCACCACCACTTCCCTTACCTCATCGCCGGTCACAACAGCAAGCAGAGGAAGAAGGTGTTCTTTGGGTCCTTCAGGCTTCACTACAACTGGGGCTCCACCTCTTCCTCCCGCGTCCTACCTGTCCCCGAATCCGTCCTACGTGGCTGCTCCTCCGACTCCGACTCCTACGTGGAGGGCAGTAGTAGTACTGCTGCTGCCCAGTGGTCCTCGTCAGAGTCCACGCTGGCAGGGTACCTCCTTTGGCTGGAAGAGAAAGACAACAAGTGTGGTGGCGGCGGCGGCGGCGGCGGGAGCGAGGAGGATGATGATGATGTGGCAGCGGCAGAAGGAGGAGGAGGAGTAGTGAATGAGATCGACAGGCTGGCGGAGATGTTCATCGCGGAGTGCCACGAGAAGTTCCAGCTGGAGAAGCAGGAGTCGTTGAGAAGATTCCACGATATGATGGCGAGAAGCATGTGAATCATCGAGATTTGCGCTGAAATATCAAAATCTCGCGACAAGAAAAGAAAACAAATTAAGGAGAGAAACTGGGAGGTTTCTCCTTCTTCTACGTCGTAAAAACAAAACTCTGAACTGCCGCTTGTGGGGTTGAAGGAAGGGAGGGAGGGGCCGAGGGGGAAGTACAAAGAGACGGGATGATGAGGATGAGGAGGAAGGTATACATTAATTAATTAACTAACTAATTTAGAGCTACTAGCAGCTAGTAGTTGTAGAAGTATAGTCCAATTTTGGACTTAATTAATTAGCTTTTGTTTCTTCCTGGTTTGGTTTCTTTTGGATATATTTTTGGAAATAATATTAATATATATATAATGTAAAAAAAAAGGGAGATTTGCACTTTGCATTCAATTTTTTCTGTGTTCAATATAATTAGTCTTTGAGATTAATGCAAACTAACTCCTAGTTGTGACGAATTAATTATTTGGGGTTGAGTTAATTGTGTTTGATGAAGTGGTTGGTTGGTTGGGTGGGTGGGTCAAAGTTAGTTTGGCGGAGGACGTGGGTTTTTGGTAGAGAGACTATTCAATTATATTGCATGATCTACTTAACTTCCACTGCTACTACTACAGCCACAGTTAGCCATGCATCTTGCATTGAGATCATGATGACATGATCTAGGATTGCTGATATTTACTACTTAACTCTATTTTGCGAAGTGGCAGATCTCGTGTTCGATACCTTCTCGAAGCTCGCTATGAACTTCAGGTTTGGTCGCTCTCCGCCATCACAAATTGTGGTGTGTGCGTGGAGATGTTCCTGTGTTATTAAAAAAACATACTACGCCCTCTAATAGAACAAGAAATCAACTAATAATACACATTTTACAAGTAAAAAAAACTTTGTGCATGTTGGAGGGACTTATGAATTTGTTCGATGGTCACTAGATAATCTTAAAGTAATTTTCTTAAGTAACTATGTATTACTTTACTAGACAAACAAAGTGAAAGCGATTTTCCAAAGAAATTTGACATCAGACATTTGTTTTATGATCCATAGAAGTCAAAAAGTGCCCAATCTTAAAGATATTTACGAATGATTTAAAATAAGAAAAAGAAACCACAGTATACTATACTAATTAATTAAAAGGGAATAATACACTACACTACACTATAATCGTCTTGCTAATGACTCCTGGCAAATATGATGCCTATCAATCAATTACTGATTAATATGTGAATGGGGGAAGCCCTTGGTAATTGTGCCAATGATTAGTAATTCTGTATTTTGTTTACCTTGATTTCTGGAGTGCAATCAAATCCATTTCTGGTTCTGCTACTTAAGTAATTTCATTATCAGTTTGGAGTAGGTAGGTTTATTTATTTACAAGCTGGGTACTTACTTGATCATCATCTGGCTGAATTTCTGGGGGAAAAGGAGTTGTTGTAGGCCTAATTCCAGGCTATATTAATGTTTTAAGTTAAAAAACAACCAAGAAAAGAGCTCTCTAAAGGCCAAGATGTAAGGAAGATGTTGATTCCCTCTCACTTTGCTTTAGGAATATTACACTTTTTCAAGTGTCAATTTGTACTTCCATTACAAATTCCAAAAGGCATTAATATATGGCACAAAGTTAATAATCTCTCCCATTTGCAGCGACATATCTACATTATAAAAAAAGAGATAAAAATACATTAAAATTGGTTACGAACATAAAAAATAGTGTAATTGATAAGATACTAATTACTCTCTCTTCTCCAGAAATCACAATTAAATTTTCCTAAATATCATTCTTTTGATTTGATCACTTTTTTTTTCCCGTCATCACACATGTAATAATAATTATGATACACTTAAAAGTATTTTCATAGAGTTTTTAGAAAGACAACATATATACTTCTTGAGTATACAATATTTCAAGTGGTGTGATTGTTGGATGTACTACAATGTACTTCAACGAATCAGAATCTTCGATTATTTTTTTTATTAACTTAATCTTCGAATTTGAGTTTAAAAATTGAAATTTAGGTTTATTTATTAGAGGTTAAAATACAATATTATATTATAAATTCGATTTAATTTATAATCTAGATGGATATAACTCACTAGGATTATCGGAAGTATAGTATACGCAGATAATACAGCGAGCACGCCAACGCCAAAAGAGATTTTTTTTTATTTTTTATTTTTTTGTAGAAGAAAGAGGATCGTAATGAGATCTGGGGAAATCCCAAAAGCAAATAAGTTTTGAGGAAACTTATATGCGAATACAACCTAACTTTTACCTTCCACATGCAAATGACAAGAGCACAGAGAGATGTATCATGCTGGGAGGAACTCGTACGTAAAGTAAGGACCAAGACTACTAGCCTTGTAATAATTTCTCCAACTACTCACCCCTTTCATCGAGCTGCATGTGTCATTCCATATCTCCTACCACTCCTCAGCAATTGTAGTAGACTAGTAGTCACTAACTACTTGTATTTAATTACTCAACCGATAATCTTTTTTTTTGGTAGAAACTCAACCGATAATCTTATTGGTCATATATGCTATCATATTGATCGAATTGGAAAACGCATGCATCTAACGAAGGATACTACACAATATTAATTTTACACAATATTAATTAATATATATAAAGTTAAATAAATACCGGTTACTGTTGCCTAATCTTAATATGATTTGTTGGGCCTGTTTTATTGGGCATATAATTTATCTTCGTTGGGCTTGATTTGATGGACTCAGGGAACGCTATTGGAATTTATTGCCGTCAGCGCTCTCCCTATGCCCCTACTGCCTGCCTCCTCAATCCTCATAGCCTTTAGCCCTTTAGCGCCTCTGCCATGACTTTTATTTTATTTTCTTTCTTTGTTATTCACTTATTCTCCTTTTTCTTCTTCTTCCTTTGGGGGTACGATTGGATTTGGTGGTCTCACACGGAGACAATGAGATTATTCCAATTTCATTGTAAACTTGATCTTACAGAGCTTTGATTAAGTAAGATATTTCTAAAGCAGTAAGATATTTGAATATAGCTCTAATCAAACACGGGTTGGATGGTATAAACTACAACTTCTTCTCATATATAATTGTTTGAGGACTGTTAGTTTCTATGGTTGCGGCTGATGTTCGTTTAGCTATAAGTAGCTAAATTAATGTTTCCATGGAAAGAGTTGCCACTTGGATATAATTGTCTTCCCATCCAGCATACATTCTTAAAGCACATAGACTTATAATTATTTGATTAGATGGATTCGAGGACAAGATGTGATTATAAGAAACTTGATATACAATGCATTTGTCATGTTTTAGGAATCATGATGTTGATATGACTTGAATCGGATTATCAGCCGCTACGCCTGGTCTGTAACCGTTTCCTTTGTCAGATTGGATTAGGTTTAGACCCACATGGAGAAGTACTATAAATACTTCTCATACTCCTCTGTAATCTGTAATCTCGTCGATATAGTGAAACTGGCTCTCTCTCGCCCGTGGACGTAGCTAACACACATCGTGTTAGTGAACCACGTAAATCGTGTGTCGTGTTTTCGATTCTCGCTTTTGTATTCTTGCTTTATCGATTCCGGCGATTTCCCGATCCGTAGCAGTGCGTTTATAACAAGTGGTATCAGAGCAGCGGCTGGAAATCAGGCTAGGGTTTTTCGATTCAGAAGAATGACGTCGGTGAACATGAAGATCGAAGAGTTCACGGGGAAGAACAGCTTCGCTATATGGCAGATCAAGATGCGGGCTTTATTAAAACAACAAGGGCTGTGGGGGCCGCTGTCTGCGAAACAGAAGAAGGCAGCGGTCGATGACGATGAGTGGAATACCCTGGAGGAGAAGGCCCACTCGACCATCATGCTATCATTGTCTGATGACGTCATCATGGAAGTCGCTGCTGAGAAGACTGCCGCGGGCTTGTGGTTGAAACTAGAGAGTCTGTACATGACTAAGTCTCTAACCAACAAGCTGCATCTCAAGCAACGGTTGTTCAGCTTGAGGATGCAAGAAGGTACGCCTTTGAGGGAACATCTCGAACAGCTTAACTCTATTTTGCTGGATCTGCGTAATATTAGATGTTCAAGTTGATGACGAGGATGCTGCCCTAATCCTGCAGGTTTCTTTGCCGAGTTCATATGAGAATTTCGTTGATTCTTTTATTGCCGGTAAAGAAAGCGTGTCGTTGGAGGATGTCAGGTCTGCTCTTCATACAAGAGAGATCAGACATAAGGCGTCCGGATCTGGTACAGGTGGTGAGGCATCGGGTTTGGCTGTTACAGGTGGAAAGGGAAAGAAGAAATCTGATAAAGGGAATTCGAGCAAGAATTCCAAGGGTCCCGGTCCACAGCCAGGTGATGCTTGTCACAACTGTAAGGAAGTGGGGCATTGGAAGTACAACTGTCCCAAGAGAAGAGGGCAACAGAAGAAACAAGGTTCAGTTGCCGTGGCAGAAGTGGACAACAGTTCTGAAGACGATCTCGCCTTGGCTGTAGATGAGAAGGCACATCGTGGTGATGTGTGGTTTCTGGATACTGCAGCCTCATACCATATGTCTCCGAACAGGGATTGCTTCACAACCTACGAGCAGATAGATGGTGGCAACGTGGTCATGGCTAATGGAGTTGTCTGCAAGGTTGTTGGAATCGGGTCCATAAAGGTTCGGACACATGATGGTTCGTTCTGTACCGTGAATGATGTCAGGCATGTTCCACGAATGACAAAGAACCTGATCTCCTTGAGTCTACTCGACAGCAAGGGTTTCAGCTTCAAAGGAAAAGGTGGAGTTGTGTATGTCTGCAAGGGTTCGAGGAAGGTACTGAAGGGTGTGAAGCATGAGACCTTGTATGCATTACAAGGGTCTGTGTTGTCTGGTTCTGCTGCAGTTGCATCGTCTCAGGTTCAACAGGAAGATATGACCACTCTCTAGCACATGAGACTATGGCATATGAGTGAACGAGGGATGCAAGTTCTGTCGAAGAGGGATCTTCTTTGCGGGCACAAGGTGCAGAATTTGG